CATTAGTAATATAAGAACATCCAAACACTCCGCCTAACCTTTTATGCCACACACATACGCATACTTGTGTTTTCGGCTTAATGCGTTTTTTGTGCTACATTTGTAAGGCAAAAGCGCATAAACAATCCGGTTAGCTTTAAGTGACAAAAATGCTTAGTTCGAGATTCGAAATCCGACGAAAACAAGGGCATATGCTCTTCTTAAAAACTGAAAAACTAGAATTTGACAGTTTAGAGTAAGGACCAGACCAAACTTCCTGAGCGCACTTTTTTTGAAAACGGACTGTGCTCACATACCTGAAATATTTCTGTCTACAGTGCTGGATCGGGAGACATTAGTCGATGAGGGTCGTGGTGGGGGTGCTGGAGGACCACCTGAGACTTGTCCTGCTCGAGCTGCCATCATTTGTTGCGGCGCACGTTGAGAGCTTAAAATGCTTGTTTTTAAAGTTCTAAATGCCACTAGTAACTGCTAAAAGTGTAATAAGGCTTCTCAACGCTAATCCTGGATGCTGGCTAACAAGGTTTTGAGAATTTAGAAAACAGAAGATTGACTGAGATCTACAGTCAGAAAAACGATTAACAATATCTGCTTTCCTTTTAAGCAGTTCCAGTACCACTACCGTTGTTAAAAAAGCCGAACACTCGAACAGATTTAACTTAGGTAGGATTAAAAGTAGTTTGAGGTTGGAAGCGCAATGCTTTTCAAATCAGCAGGTTGCCAGCTCCGCAACTGCCCCATTTCGAACTACTAATTACACGAATTGGATGTATTATTGCATTTTTTTTTAGCGTTACAAGAAATAACGCTTTTGAAGGTGAGGTTATTTTATAAAAATTTCGTTGTCTCTACATCTTTAAACAAGGAACAAAGGTAAAAAAAAAAAAGGCGCAAACGATTGTATGATGTGTGTCTGAACGAGGTCGGCGATGATCCTACGATCCTCTTCCTGAGTATCACCAAGCAGTGTTATTGCATCATTGACGTCGTGAATTATCTCTCTTCCATCTTTTGCTACTAAAATATCGATACCGAATACTTCCAGCCCACCGAAAGCATCAGATACTGTCGCTAACCATTGCTTCTGCCTGTAACAGCTGCTTAATCGCCTTCGACTACTTTTTTTTGCGCTACACAAAATGTTCCTATTTGTTGCGTCAGAAGCTGTAGTTGCTGTCACATTTCTGAATTTCACGGAAACGCATGCTACGTCGAGTAATGCGACTTTGAATTTTGGAAGCGTTATCCATGCGCCAAATGAATTCGCTGTTAGAAGTTCATCTGCCCTGCCCATTTTTGATGCTGCGTCCTGATCATAGCTTCTTTGCGGATATTCAAAACACACATAAATCAAGAAATGAGTATTCAAGAAAGCCAATTAATAGGTTTCTGAAAATAACAAACCTATTTGAAAGGGAAATTTTTTCCAACATTGCAGAACTGGCATTACTCTTCCAGTCATTTGATATGCCTTTTCGGATATAAGCTCTAGTTTCGGATCCAATCTTCTGTAGAAAGAACAACAATATCTAAGCAATTATTAATATGACTTTTCTAATCCATCCACTTTCACACCGACATGACAAATACAAAGCAGTTGGGGACAACACTAACAGATAGCTTCAAACACAACAAATGTTAAATTTATATGTGCAGTTACACAAGATTTTCGTACCTGCAAGTGTATGTCATATTTGGTTTCAATAAATGGTTCGGTGAGAACCTCGATAGGACCAACTGCGCGAAGCATATTTTCAACTTCCAGAAGATGATTTTCGTCGTCAATTTTCACCTGTTTATGAAAAATAAACGTATTTGTTAATTTTGGTCCGATAAAAACTTTTAAAAGGTAGAAAAAGCATTTTGAGGAAAAAACGCCTTTAAAAAAACGTAGAATTATTTTGAAGAAATAAAAGAAAATAATCTGCTGCGTGAACCAACACAAAAATCTTGGAACGTGCATAAAATATAAAGTTACATCGTTTAAAATACTAAAATTTTTTTAAAATATAAGAAGCTGACTCATATAAATTGCGGGTTGGCTCGCAGTGGAAAGCCGAGCAGAAATGGTTGCGGATTGTATGATAAGTCCCCTAGACTCACACGCAAAAAAGTATTACGCTGCGTGTGGTTCTCTTTCGCCTGCATCTTCAAAAATCCGCCCTTTAAAAATCGATTACCCGATACAGCAGTATACAAGCAAACGCAGAGCCTAGATAAATTCTGGTAAAGTCTCTGAAACATGAAAAACGCACCTTTCCAAGACCATGGCTTCCATGCCCAACACGCAATACAACTGGATAGCGAGGTTTTGAGCTCTGTAACAAGATTTTCCAGGATTCTGCATGTGGAAAAACGCACTAAAGTCTGCAGCTGATTGCAAGACTAATCTCGTACACTCAAAGTCTCGATGATTTTTATGCGTTTTTGCCTATATGCAAATTGCAAAAACGCATATTGGGACGACCCTGTCT